CTCTTCACAGGAGACATCCTCATCAATATCCATATCAATCTAACTCAAGATGTGAGACGGATTCGGTTCATACTTCTGTAACATTGACACATGAAAAACATTATGAACCCTGTCTATCTGTGGTGGCAATGCGAGTTTGTAGGCAACCTCTCCTACGCAGTCCAAAATCTTGAATGGTCCAATGAATCGTGGCGATAACTTACCACTCTTCTCGAATATGTCCATACCGAGTACGGAATGCCGTCTTTGGGATATCCTCATCCTAACCCGTAATTGATAATAGCTTGACCTTAAGTCAATTTTTGAAAAGCAACTGGCTCCCTTCAGCTGATCAAACAAATCATCTATTCTCGGCAAAAGGATACTTGTTCTTGATGATGGCATGATTCAACTTCCGGTAATCAATGCACAACCTCAAAGAACCATCTTTCTTCTTAGCAAACAAGACCGGTGCACCCCACGGTGACACACTCGGTCGGATGAAGCCTTTCATCCTCAAATCGTCAAGTTGTTTCTTCAGTTCTTCCAATTCAATAGGTGCTATACGATACGGTGCCATAAAAATCGGCACGGTACTGGGCATCAAATCAATAGTAAACTCCATCTCTCGCTGTAGAGGCAACTCTGTCAAGTCTTTTGGAAAAACATCCAAGAAATCACGAACAACTGCCGGATAATTCGTTCCCACAACATTATCTGCTTCGGCTAAAAGACTAGCCAAAAAGTAATCACCACGACTCCATCCACGAATTCCGTAAAATGATTAAGTGTGAGAATCACTCTGATCTCCCACGAAAAAGAAGTAATCCCCCTTAGTAGTGCAAATTGTGACTCTTCGTCTAAAACAATTAATCGTAGCATGAAAGGAAGCTAACCAATCCAGCCCGAGAATGACATCAAAGCCAGTCATCTACAGGAGGATGAGATCAAACACGAAAATTCGCTCGGCTATTACAATAGAACAATCCCTCACAACTAGGCTTAAAAACACTGAAACCCCAACTGGCGTGTCAACACACAATGCCCAATCCATGAAATTGACCTCTAACCCCGATGCAAGTGCAAATGATGATGATATAAAGGTATGAGATGCACTAGAGTCAAACAAAACATGAGCCCAAGAACTAAACACTGGAAAGATACCTTGTAGAACTAATGGTCCAGAAGATGTGTCAGTCTGAACAATTGCAAAGACACGTCCCTGCTGTGCCTGTGCCTGAGAACTGCCAACCTGAACACCAGATTGCTACGCTGACATAGTAGGAGTATCCCTCCTATCTGGTCATGAACCCTGTGAAGACATGGCAGGCTGTGGTGGTGGTAGTGGCAGTCTGAAACCTGACTGAGTTGTAGGCGACTACGACGGCCTCTGCTGTGACCCTCTGCCACTACCCGTGCTTGCTCCGGACAATTCTTCACCCTATGGCCCTGTTCGCCACAACCAAAGTAAACCCCATAATTAACCGAAGTCTTTGGACACTCCGTCTTGTAATGACCAGGCTGATTGCAGCGATAGCAAACTACACCACTCCTAGCAGACCCTGTTAGCATAAGGGTAGTAGGAGTGGACTGTGTAGACTGCTATCCCTATGACTGTGACAGATCACCCCTGTTCCTCTTCCATGATTGCCCTTCTGAAGATGGTCCTACATTTCTCTTGTGCTTCCATTGTTCCCTTCCTGCATTTCTATCTTTGGCTTCCGCCTCTAGCATTTATTAATGCTCTTTCCACTGTCTCCGAATAAACCTTGAAGTACTGTGCCATTATCAACGGCCTTATTTGGTAATAAAGACTGGATACAAACTTCCGAGTCTTGTCAGTTTCACTCCTCACTATCTCTGGAGCAAAGCGAGAAAGAGAAGTGAACTTGTTCTCGTATTCTGTCATTGACATATTGTCTTGGATAAAGCCATTAAACTGTTCCCTTAGCTCCCATCTCTTGGTAACCGAAAAATACTTCTCATAAAACAGATCCTTAAACATCTCCTAACTCATCTCTTTAACCTTATGTTGATTGGTGACGGACTTCCACCAAAGCTTGGCGTCCTTGGAAAACTTGTAGGTAGCCAAGATGATTTTCACATGATCATCCGTTACATCCATAGAAGTCAAGTGGGTTTCCACTTGGTCCATGTAGTCATCAGCTTCCATTGGGTCTGCACCACCCTCAAACATTACTGGCATCAATTTAGAGAATCCCGCAATCAACTTGAGATGCTTCTGTGTCACCGTCTCGTCTACCTAAACTACCGGTTGCGGAAGAGTAGTAATTGTAGCCCTGAAAGCACTTTGCAGCAAACGGTTCAATACTAGTTCCGCCGAACCTTCACCCTCTTCAACGGGTGTCACAACATCATCTCTCCTAGTGGAGACACCTCTCGGGGTAATTAAGTCCCTAAGAAGTGTATCCTCATCAACTTGCTCCGCTGGATTGGAGCTAGAGCTCTCACCAACATCACCCCTTGTCAGCCTAGGGCCAACTCCCCTTGGTTCCTTTCATGGTGGCATCGTGCTATAAAACGAGAAAACGATTCAATAATGATGATACTAAGGTCCAGCCGTGGACGACTCAATAAAGTGATGCAATGCTAACACCTAGCATGCGAAACGATACAGCAAGTACATCAACATAGGTATATAAGCAAATACTAACACTTCAGTAAATAACCCCATAATCAATGCAAATGCCTTCCCATGCAGCCCTAGGTTGGCCTCTACCCGTCGTCTTAATGGTTTTCGAACCATCGCTCTGATACCAATTCTGTAACGACCCGAACCCGTGGGTCCAAACCGTTAACCGGGTCCTTACCCAAACTCGAGGTTACCTAAGTCATTCCCGTCATTTCTAATGTCAAAACATCATTTTTAGGTCATAATTATGCTTCACAATGACTTAATGTAAATTCCCAAGGCTCAGGATAGATTACATTAGAGAAAAGAACAAAGTGAGCAGAGCAGATACACTTTGGTCGACCGAAACGGGGCTTCAGTCGGCCAAAGCAATCTCCCTGTACTGGTCGACTGAAACAGGCATTTCGGTCGGCCGGTTGTGACTTCAATAGTGACTAAGTCTCTGGATGAACCGGTCAGCCGAAACAGGAATGTCGGCCGGCCGAAATGGCTCTGCGAACTGGTCCTACTATTGGAAATGCTAAATATCTGAAAATGAATGGAGGCCTATGGGAAACTTTGTAATCTACTTCAAACTTGTTCTAAAAACTCTTCAAATGACAAAACTACATAATATGGTCATGATTATCCACATTTTGATATGATACAACATCAACAAATTCATTCATATAAGAAGTAATGCTTAGTCTTTACAATTTGTTCAACTTTACTTCAAAATAGAGTTAAGGCTTATAGTTAAATTACAAGGTTATACTAGTTAGCCTAAATACATTCCAAATTGAAGCGTTGACAAAAAGATGGCTCAAAGATACAAAAGATATCAAAAATGGACTTTTAGTACCCCATTCAAACTTGTGGAGGACCATCAGCTGCCACTTCCTTCCCGTGACGTAAAAATGTTAAATATAAAGGGGTGAGCAAATTGCTCAGTAGGTGGTGCCTAAGACACACCTCTTGTGACCCCGTGAATCCAAACAATGAATAAAAAGATAGAAAAAGGGATCTTGCTAAGCCAGGAGAAATTACAACAATTTACAAGGCCAAAATGGACAATATGATGCTATGGAATAATATGTCGCGCTATGTCGCTCCCCGTTTTCAAAACCATTTCCGTTCTCCACTTTCAAACTGTTAACATAACCCGTTTCATGGTAACTCCATGGCAAAACGAGAGAAGGATTGGACACTGTCCTTGACCCATGGTAACTGCATGGCACCATTTGGGGCCAGTAACTCAACCACGCTAGAGTTTTTCCCTAGTTCCCTCTAAGTCACATTAACGCCACGGCCCCTAGGCAACTCTTAGGTGACGGGGTTTTCACAAAACCCATTATCAAAACTTTTCCCCAAATATCCATTTTTCCTTTGAAAACAATTCTTTCCCATTTTTCCTTGCCCAATGTTATGCATGAATGCATCATGTTTTTCCATATCATGTCAATGTCCATTATTATACATCCAACTTAAGCTCAAGTCATATAGCATAATTTTACAAGAAATCCCAGAAGAAATAACATGCTTCCACATCAAGAAATTTAGCAATTTCTAAACATCATAGGCATGAAGTATTACCAATTAAGCATGCTTTTAGTATAAATCAACTACTATACATAGTCATGGACTTTATATACAACAATTAAATCATTTTAAAGGGAATCAATACAAATTAAGCATACTTACTAACAAATAATGAAGAAAAACTCACAAAAGTACAAGAAGTTTGTGGATTAAGAACCCATACCTCACTTAGGTGCAAAACCCCAATTTCAAACCCAAAATTTAAAAAATCCTAGGATACACCAAAACTGAAATTACTTACACCCACTTGTAGATCTCGATGTGCTCTCTATTTTGCCACAAACGACATCCAAAAACTCCAAAGGGTTGGAGATTAATTGAAGTTTGAAGCTTTGTGCAAAAAGAAAAAGAAAAATGAAGAAAAGAGAAAAAGAAAGAGGTTCAGTCGGGGAGAGAGAAATGGGTGGCTAAATATGGTCTCTTGGCCATACAATATGCATTAGTGGTGTGTCCCACTACTAAAAATTTCATTTTGACTTCTCTTTCTTTTTCCTTTTATTTCCTACCACATACACATACATTAAAATAATGTGAATGAAAAGCAAATGAACCCCACCAAAACTCCTGTACACGACAATTCCGGTAACGGGTCCCACAGGATCGTCCGGCTCAAAAAATAAAAAATGCGAAATGACAAACCTTGCATTTCAAAGAGTCCTAAACTCAATGAAATGCCCCAACCTACTCTCGAACACAACCGGCACAGTCCATGGTGTCCGGTACGTAAAACGTAAAAAGATGAAAATACCTTTGCCAAAAACGAAAAATTCCAAAAATGAAAACTGACGAAAATTAGAAACATTACATGCATATATCAGAATCAAATATCCAAAATCCAAGGCAAATATCAAAAACCAATATCCAAATAAAATATCCAAAAATCAAGATCCAAAACCAGGCAAAAAGTATCAAATAGTATCAAAAACAGGTAAATAAATGAGTAAATAAGAGAGAAGTGGTGGAATCATGGAATAACATCAGGTGGTGGTTCAAGTAAGTCTGTGAGGTGCTGAAACATGTTTGCAACCTCCCCGCAGAAGCTAATCATCTCTGTATGGAGTAGTGCAATGTTCCTCCTTACATCTGTGACACCTCTCTCGAGATCGTCAGCTTTTTGTCCCATACGGGCATCGAATGATCTGAAGTTTGACTGAAGTTGAGTCAGCTTGCCTCGAAGACTAGAGTCTGAACTAGCATGCTGAGAGGGTGGGCCTGTCGGATCTAGAGGTGGAACATAAGAGGATCCTGGCTAAGAATGGGGTGGGATGGATATCTCCTACTGTCACTGGGATGTGGAAAAGGTGCGCGGTCAAGTCCGAGCTCCAGAAGAGGACGGGGATCCATCTTGTGAATCTGTAGGTCTGAGCCTCTTCTTTGCAGTCATTCTCAGACTAGTCTGAATGGCATAATAACTCTTCTTTCACTGAGTTGCACTTTACCTCCTGTTAGGCTGTTCTGGCTCCTCTGCTGGGTCAAATCTGAAGCGCTGGTTTTCCAGAAGCTGTGTGATCAAATCAGCAAAGGGGAGAGACCGGGACTTGGACTTTTTCATTTAGCTTAAGCACTAAATTATCCCAGTACTTATGGAACATGTCTCATATGAGTGAGGGAAATGATAGCCAACATCCCATGTTAATACTATAAAGAGCCTTCAAGAACCCCATTCGCCTCTATGTGTTATGCCCTGACGGAAAAACATTACGGAATAGCACTGTATCAATAAACTATAGTCGGGGTAGGGGATCAACCTGCTCTGCAAAGGTGTTGCCTAGATGGGTTGTCTGAGGAGAGAGAGATGCAGCTATGTCCTGGTCCAAAGGATAATCTATGATAAGAGGGTACAATGCCTGCTCTGACTCTGTGACCACTGGAGGAATGTAGGGGCATCTGCAAGCTATCTCTATGGTAGCTGTAGAAATGATAATGTCCTGCCCATCCACTGTAGTATGAAAGACCTGGGGGTCAACCTCATCCCGACGAAGCTGTTGGAAGAAAAAGCTACCAACCGTGGGTACACCTTCTCGTTCACCGGCGAAAGAATAGATGTTATACCACGACGATCTATCTCATCATATGCCCAACGAGTCTGCTTAGATCGTGAGAAGAAGTAAGTGACAAATGTATACTCTGGATCCCACTCTCTCTTAGAAAAGTATGGATTCGACACTGCTCTGACAACGGGGGCCTGAGGATCCATAGAGTGTGCACTGAAAGAGGCACTAGATGAGGATACAGTAGAAGAGGATGATCCAACTGCCACAGACTCAGAAGAAATAGACTCCCTCTCTGGAGAAAGAGGTGGCTGTGGAGGCTAGATAACTCTCTTCCCTTTTCTGGCTATAGATTTCCTCCACTGCATCTGGAAAAAAAACATATAGGTATCAGTGCACAGATCCAGAAATAAGATAAGTAGCAAAAACGAAATACTAAGCATGCTTGAATCAATTAGAAATAGAGAATAGACAGAAATGAACATGCTTGTGTAAGAAATTATCAAGAAGGCTTCAAGAATAGCATTCAAACCATTTTCTGACATTTTAGAGCTAAAACATGTTTCAACAGAACAAGAATGGAACATGGCACATCTTAAGCATGCAAAATGGTACATTGGTAGCAAAGAGGAATCATACAGTCACTTTTGAGAAAATATGCAAGCATGTAACCAATGTGACAAGCCTAGGATGTGATTTGCACAAAATATGCAACGTGAGTTCACAAACCTAAAACTTAAGAGATTTTGCAATTTTTAAGCATGTAGACCTTATAATGATATCTATCATTTCCTAAACTAGAATGTCTACAATTTTAAACATTAAGTCCAATGGAGCAATTATGTGACATGGAGGAAATAAGTTCATGGCAAAGTCTATTTAGAACTCAAGAAAAGATGAACATCATAACATAAAGAATAAATGTAAGGCACGGTTGCAAACACTTCAATCCAAAGCATGTTATGATGCACAAGTTCCAAGATGAATTATAGACATGAAATGCAACATTTGATGGCCCAAGTTTTTCAACCCGGTGCGTCAGTAATGAGCCGAAAGTGATCTAATAACGGATCTGAAATGCGGAAGCTAAAGGTAAACCAAAGTCTCAAGAGATAAGGGTCACCTCTAAGACACCAATGTGACCTTATAATGATATCTATCATTTCCTAAACTAGAATGTCTACAATTTTAAACATTAAGTCCAATGGAGCAATTATGTGACATGGAGGAAATAAGTTCATGGCAAAGTCTATTTAGAACTCAAGAAAAGATGAACATCATAACATAAAGAATAAGTGTAAGGCACGGTTGCAAACACTTCAATCCTAAGCATGTTATGATGCACAAGTTCCAAGATGAATTATAGACATGAAATGCAACATTTGATGGCCCAAGTTTTTCAACCCGGTGCGTCAGTAATGAGCCGAAAGTGATCCAATAACGGATCTGAAATGCGGAAGCTAAAGGTAAACCAAAGTCTCAAGAGATAAGGGTCACCTCCAAGACACCAATGTGACCCTCCATGAGGTCACAAAACCTAAAGAGGACAAAAACGAAAATAAAGGTCAAAAAGGACAAAATTTGCTATCAACTCAATATTAAAAGGAGAAACTTGACTCTAAACAAGTCAAACAAGGTTAATACAACCTAATCTAATCATTTTGAAATATTCCAAGAGGTTCCATAGACTTTGGCTAAGAATCCCACAAAATGCCCCGTCCCGGTTGAAGTGAAAACTGATACTGCTTCACTAAAACATACATAACTCCCACTGTGTTTGGAATTGGAGAATGGGATTGGTACCATTGGAAAGCTGACTCAAAATCCTTGAGTTTAGGCTCAAGAATCACCTCATTTGGATTAGAAACGAAGAAGTTATGACCTGTTGAAGTCGGATGATCAGTGCTAAAACTCAATAGAAGCAAGGCTCGGGTTCTAGCTATTTCGGTCTACCGAAATGAAGTTTTGGACGACCTAAATGAAGATGCTGAGACCTAAAATCATGAAGAAAAGGTTCCAATTGCTTTGGTAGACCGAAATGAAGGTTCGGTAGACCGAAATGACTCATAAACAGTGCATTTGGCTATTGGAATGTGATTATACTGTGCATTGGCAATTCCATTTGCTATCGGTCGACCGAAATGGAGTTTCAGTCGACCGAAACACCACGAAAAGCTGCTAAAAAGGCTGCTATGAGTCCAAGGTGTTAAGGTTCAACCTCAACTTTGAATCCCATGATGTTTTGGTTCACAATGAATATGTAAAACTGATTTTTCATGAGTTTTGAGAATGTGAACATGTCAACAACTTTGATATGAATAAATAAACATAAAACAATGGCTCATGGCCTCATACACATCATTTACAAGATTTTCATATGTCAAACCTCAAACTTTGGTTTAAATACACTTTTGATGCAAATGTTGATACCAAAAGTGTCAAAGTACAAAAGTATACATGTTTGGCCTTTGGCCTCTTTACATACATGTTTATAATGTCAAAAGTAAATGTTTGAGTGTTATTACATGTCAAGAAAGCTAAACCTAAAGCTGCAAAAGTACCATACACCCATGGCATTCAAAATATGATATCAAAAGTTAAGTCATGCTAAACACTTGTATGTTAATATACAAAAATGCTTCAAATAGCTCAAAAGCTTCTAAGAATTATGAGCATCCATGAACATGGTTTCCTTACCTGAAAAATAACCCAAACCACTAGGGTGAGTAATCAAGTTACTCGTAGGAGAAGCATATGTGTATACCCTAAAGTTTCAATATCATTGCAAGATCAATATAGACGAATACAAGGGATCATTCCACTTAACGTCTATGTTCAAGGTGTTCTAAGGGATCATCTTAAACTAACTTAAATGATTCTTTAGCAACACAAACAATTATCAATGTACTCAACAGCATCAATTCGTCAATAACAAGAATTTCAAGCTACAATTAAGCATTGGTTGTCAACTTGAAATTTAATGCGAAAACAAGTAATGGAAGACTTGGACATCACGTCTCGAACTTAACCAAGATCAATGCGGTTATTCCGAGCATTAACCGGCTGGAAAGACCACCCTAGTGCGCACTATCTCAATTGGGGAGAACTCATACCTCTAGCACTAAAGCCAAACTTTAGTCATGTCACACGTAACAATGTCCTAAGAGATTCCAAAATATATATCAAGTTCAAAACTTATATATATATATAATAAGGCATACAAACCACTTTCTATGCACAAATATTTTGAAACCACACAAACCATGTCTTAGGGTTCCAAATCTAAAATGGCATGACAAATGACAAATTCACATCATGATATTATGCACAATACAATATCACAAATTTATCAATTCAAGTCATGCCTCAATAACAAGCTCTATATACTAATTATCAACATAATTGCAATAAGCTCCTAAATAATTACAATTAGTAATTCACAAGGGCATAGAATTATTGTAACAACAAATATAGCAATTCATATCAATAGAAATTGCATATAACATCAATAATTCTACAAGTGTCCCACATCACTAACACATGTGAAATTTCTAGAATTTAGCATGATACTAAATTATATAATCCTCCTACACATGGTTTACATATATCATACATGCTTAAATCAATAAACCCTAAGTCAAGAAGTGAGGGTTTCCTATAATATGCAATACTATCATATCAAAAGCATGTATACAATATATATTAAACTACAAGGACTATAAAACACTTAGAATATAAACATACTACCACCCCTACCTCAATAGAGAATTGAATCCGTACAATCCAAGCTACCAAGCACAAAATGGAAAACAAGCTTAGGATTCTTAAAGAGGAGAGTGAGAGGAATCCTTTCTCTCCCAAGGTCAAAGGTCTAGGGTGAGTGGAAGAGTGCCAAATGTGAAGTCAAAGTTCTATACTAAGCTTTCCTCTAATGGAGTCTTTGCTAGGGTTCATGGAGATAAAGGAATGAAAAAGGTAAAGTGTAAAAATGGTGAGTGGAAGGGCTAGAAATCCTCCACTCACTATGTGTTCTTGCACTACCTATCTCACACACACAATGCAAGACTAAAAGGTGAACCTACACTTGTCACTAATCCAATGCCCCTTCCAAGACTTAATCCTAGACCCACACTTGTCAACAATCAATGGTTACATGTGCACCAATCTAAGGCCAACACATGGATGAATCTCCACCCACCAAATGTCAAGAAGTCATGATGCCAAGTCTCTTCACCTAAATGCCAACAAATGGCTCCATGAGAGTGTGACACTTGTCACACTTTCCAAAAATTGCAAAATGGTCCTTTTTCAAAATATCTTCCAAAATAAATTGCAAAAAGGTCCCCAAAATGAAAAATAATTATTTTACATAATTACACTAAAACCCCAAAAGTTAAAAATAGTTACTCTAAAGTATGTATTCATGCCCTTTACAAGAAAAGTACTAATCTAGCATGCTTTTCAAGAAAAGTAAAAATACCAATGTCATGAAAATCAAATATCATGAATGCCTGCAAAATCGGAATCAAATCCGAGCATAACAAGTGAGGTTATGCAAGGAAAATGAAAAATAACTAAAAAACGAAATAAGGAAAAGACAAAATAAGAAAAAAAAAGACGAAAAAAGAAAATCGTCGAAAATGGAAAAGAAGGAAAAAGACCGGGTCATTACATAACATATGAAGCATTTGAGAAATGATGCACAATTCAAAGCCTAACTCTATTCACAAAAATCCCATCCTTTTTTTTTCAACAAAATCAACAACCTACGGTCACTCAAGGCTTGTGACCCCCTCTAAGCAATATAGAGAACAAAAATGATCACTTATGGCTCGCGAGCCCCGTACACCTCAAAGATATAAAAAAATGTGGTCACTTATGGCTTATGACCCCCTTCTTTGCGAAATTGAAGCATACAAATGGGTTAAAACAAGAAGAATGAGAATCTTACCCCTTTTGCATTAAAACAATGACTGTTTTAAGGCAAAGATGCCAATTTTTGTCTCAAGCCATTACAAGCTTCCAAGAATGTATCACAAAGATATACAACAAGTAAAGAAGCATTTCAAGTTCAAATTTTCTAAACTTAACCACAAAGAGCAATTTGGTTCAAGTTTAAACACATTTAAGTTCAAGACAACATTCCCCCCAAACCTATTTCAAATGGCCATTTCCAAAGTCGATTCAATCCCACAAGTGTTTACTAAGCCCGAGCAATGACAATGATATCATAGAAATGCACTTTTGAACTCAAAACATTCAATTTCTCCCAAAACAAGTTGAAGTTTCGAGAATCATGATATTTGCAAGAAAAGAGTATCCAAAAGTGTAGCATGCTTTCCAAACCAACAATGTGAAGCAAGGTGTGTGCAACTTATGACAAGAATATTGACAAGCAAAGCAAAGAAACTTGCACTTTATTCCAAAAGGCACAACACTTTTCCAAGAAAAATCACATTAGGCTAATTCACACTCTATTTGTAACATCACAACATTTGACTTTAAAAAGTTGGGTTCAAGTTGACATACTCAATGACACTCAAAACATGCATTTGGATGAAGAATGAAGCATATGGAACACATTCATTTCATTTAAGGACATTTTGGACAATATTTTTGAAAAATTTCAACACTTGGTTTCAAAAACGAAATTTTTAGAGACTTTGGAGTTCTAACTTTCACATGCATTGTAGATAGGAATTCTCACAAGAATCATGCATTGAAACACTTAACAAGTGAAGGAATTTAAAAACTCAACTTTACATTTAAAATCAAAGTCCAAAACTCAATTTCAACTTTTGAAAACCAACAAATTTGTGCAAAATTGAAGCTTTCAACTTTTCAAATATCATTTTCCAAAATTTCACCTTAAACATGAGCATATATCCATTTAAGATCAAAATATTGCAAAAAGTTCCATTTCACAACACTTGCATGCTTTTTGACAATACACTTCATTTTCAAGCTTAGAAACACAAGTTCTTGAATTCAATTTCAACATTCATGCAATTCAACTTAGAACAATCATCTATTCAATTCACTTCTTTAGGCCTTAATAAAAAGAAATGAAGTTGGGGCATGCTCACAAATTGACACTTCAAAGGATGAACATCAAAACACTTTTAACTTAAAACTCACAATGACAAATAATTTCCAAGAATTTTTCAACTTAGCTTCAACATTTTCTACATGTTCTCCTAAACAATCTCCATTTCAATCACAACTCAACATTTTCAATTACAAATTCCATTTTTAGAAAATAAAGTGCAAGCAAGTAAATGAGATAACTTCACAATTCAACTTCAATTAACAACTTTTATTCTGATTTCCAAATTCAGAGATTGCATTTCACAAAGATACAAATCCAAACTATTTATGACAAGCAAAGTTCCATTTCAAGTTGGCATTTCATGTTTATAAACATTTCACTCTCTTTTTAATGGGCACATATTCACATCCCTTTCAAATATATCAACATCACAACAAAAACCATGAAAAGAATTGTCAAAAATCTTCAACATTAAATCTCAGCATGGACTTAGCAGCTTGGATATATAAACTTACACATTCACAAAATGTCTATCAACATCGACATACATGCATCATAGCTTCAATTTTCAATTCACAGAATTTATATCAACACAAAGCAACAAATATATATATATATATATATATATATATATATATATCAACCATCCAATCACAATCCCATACTCCAAGAACACAATATCAATAACAAACTTCATTCATAGCCCCCCTTCCTTTCTTTGTTCAATTTCAGAAAATCAGGGACAAGCCCTTCACACGTTTTTCAGAAAAAGTTTTAAAACCAAGCCAACATCACAGTGTTCTCAAAACAATCCCAAACTCCAATTTCAAAGTACTGCCCATTCTCCAAATTGCCAAAACTTCATTCAATTTTTAACATCACAGTGTATATGAATAGTCAAGAAATTCCAGAATTCCCAAATGAAGTTTCAACAATCTTTTTCAAATTTTTTTTTAGCTTTCATTTTTTTTTTTTTTTTTTTTTTCAATTTTTAGATTTCATAAATCAATGATCCTTCTCTTTTTTTTTTCTTTATTTATTTATTTATTTATTTTTTTTTTTTTAGATTTTAACATAGATTCATATATACATATAAAATGAAAATGTAGAACAAAAATAAAAACAAAATTAAAAACAAAAATAAAAGACATACCCGAGAGAGATGAGAATCAATAGAAGAAAAGGAGACTTGGCCGGAATTTTTGGCCAGAGAAGATGACTAAAGACGGCGGGAAAGTCGCCAGAAGTTGCAGAGATCACTGGAAGTTTCAACAGCAGCTTCTCCTTGGTCGTAAAACGGTCAGAAAAGAGAGAGACTGAGACGAAGATGAAAATCGTGATTGAAGGAGGAGGCTCGGTCAATGGGGCCAAGCGCTTCATCGGATCTTACAGAGACAGCAACGCTTGAAGTGGCACCGGAAAATATAGAGGGAGAGAAGGGGTTGGTTCGCGGTGGAGGTGGGTGATTCTCCGGTGGTGGAGAAATGAGAGGTGAGGCGTGGTGAAAAAGGTAAGAGGGGAGAGGATGGTGGCTAAGGTTTTGTGATTCGGTGAAGAGGGAAGAGATATTGTTGGAGGCTGAGAGATAGAGAGAAAAGAGAAGAGGGAGAAAAGAAAGAAAAGAAAAGAAGGAAGAAATAAACAAAAAAAAAAAAAATAGGGTTTAAGGGTTTGGTGAGGGGTTGGAATACCAACGGGCAAGGAAAGTGGGACCCAGAATTTGAAATGGGTAAGTCACAGTGTGATCGATCATGGGTCTGCAATCGCTCATAGCTTAGGCACGATCGTTCGTAACCTAAGCTTGATTTTTTGAAGAAGGAATTTTGGTCCAAGTACGATCGATCGCAAGAAGTTGCAATCGATCGTGAAGATTCATGAACGATATGAGAAGATGAAAGGTTCCAGTGCGATCGATCGCAAAGGTTGGTGATTTGCGATCGATCGTGACGACTCATGAATGGTCCCCTATAACTTGGAAATTTCTGACGCACAAGTATGATCGATCGCCAGATTCTGCGATTGATCGTGAAATTTCACTAACGATGGATACCAAAAGGTGTTTTCAAGGTAAAATGGCACCCTGTAAATTATGATCGATCGCAAGATTCTGCGATCGATCGAAGATGGTGTTGAAAGTGCTGAAAAATGCCTGGAAACTGAAAGGAAACACTTTGAAACTTATCTAGATGACGCAAGAAGGTAAACAAAAGAAGAAATGGGGAAGAAATAGAGTTTGAAAACTCTGCGAAGCTAGTGTTTAACGTTTCTAGCAATACATTAGAATACTTTCTAGCCTGGATCAAAGATTTTGTTCGACTTTTCCTTCTCAATGGGATGAAAATGTGTTTAAATCCCACCCAACAAACTATTCCCTAGGGAACTTTTTGGATTTGAAACAATGAAACTTGGCGGACCTCTATCCACATCTAAAGAAAGACCTTTAGGCTTCTTTGCCTTTTTGACTTTTGATTTCAAAGTAGAACCATGGGAAGGAGAATCACTTGCACTTGATGGATTAGCAAGCAATGAACCCTCAACAATTTTCTCCACAACATTAACTTGCTCATGCTTGTCCATAGAATTAGGAGTAGGATTAAAGATGTTTCAATTTGACTTTCATGCGCCCAAAAGAGATTTTCATAACCCCCATCCTATAATTGATATTTACATTATTTAGGAAAAAAAGATATTTACGTTGGCAATAGCAAGAATGACGGGTATTTGACTCTTAGGCTTAGGGATCGATTCCGTGTCAATGGCCACGAAATTGACCGAAAAGTAGAACTTATCAACCTTAATTAAAACATCCTCAATAATCCCACGCGGTTTCTTGATAAACCGGTCGGCAAGTTACAAAACAGCCGACGTGGGTTTCAATTCTCCTAAGCCTAATTGAAGATACACCGGGTAAGGAAGAAGGTTAACACTTACTCCTAGGTCTAAAAGAGCCCTATTGATTTCATGATCACCAATGGTGCATGAAGTGGTCGGAGAGTCGAGATCTTTGAACATTGGAAGAGTGTTATGTTAAAGAATGGAACTCACTTGCTCGGTAAGCAAAACTTTCTTTAGTGCTTGGCTTTTGGATTTCCTTTTTTGGGTGCACAAGTCCTCCAAGAACTTGGCATAGGCCAGAATTTGACGGATTACGTCAAAAAGAGGAAGATTCACTTTCACTTGCCTAAACACTTCTATCATTTCATTAATTTTGCCTTCTTGTTTCCCAAAAGATGATGAATTTTTTAAAGCTTGTGGAAACGGAGCTTTTGGCTCATAAGGCTTTTAAAGATTATTAGATGATGATGCTTGTGATGATTTCTCCTTAATGTGATCATTTGGCTTTGGTGAAGTAGGAATAGGATTAGAAACGGGACGGGGGCAACCACTTGGTTGCACCGGTTCACTAACTTCACTGAGTGCCTCCACTTTGTTGTCAATCTCTCTCCCACTTTTCAAAGTAGTGATAGTATTCACTTGTTCATGGGTGGTAAATCCCGATGGGGGAGTTGATTCCACTATGTATTAAGGTTTAGGTTCGGGTTGAATAGGTAATTTCCCTTTCTCTTTTGCATTCAAATAATTAGATATTCGCCTAACTTGGGTTTCTAGCTTTACTATTGATTGAGAATGATAATAAAGTAATTGAGTATTGGCCTCTAAACTTCCCAAAGCCGTTAACATTTTTTCCTCAAAAGCAGAGTTCTTAGGAGGAACTTGAGAATAAGACTGAGAGTTGGACGCTTAAGTATTGGAAGATTGGTTCACATTAAAAGGAGGGTAGGAGGGATGATATCCTTGAGAATTTCCATTTTGAAGGTATGGGGGCACATACTTTCCTTGAGGATTTTGAACTTGTGAAGGGTTTGCACCGGCTCCTTGGTTCCTCTTAGAAAAGTTAGGATGTTCCTTCTATCCTGGATTGTAAGTATTAGAATATAGGTTGTTCCCCGGACAAACGAATGTGGCATTTACTTGCTCTTGTTGCTCACCTTGAAAAACATGTCCAATGGGACAATTGGAAGTAATGTAAGTCAAACTAGAGCATGTCATGCACATTTCTTAATGAGAATGAGGGGAGGAAGATGCTTGATTTGCCAAGTTTTGGTTTAACAAGAATTAATCAAAGCTTTGCCTCAAAGTTTTAACCTTGGCAAAAATTTCATTTGAACTCTCTACTTGGCACAAGTTTGAGTTCTTCTTCCCTCAAACGTTAGAATTTTGGGCTAGGCGAGAGTATATCGACCAATGCATTGAGTTTTCACTCATATTTTCAAAAAGGCGCCAAATGTCATCCTTATGCCTTTCCAAATAAGTACCTCTACACGAAACATCCACCATACCTTTGTGGGTATCAGATAAGCTCTCATAGAAGTATTGAACTAATTGCCATTTTGAAACGTCATGATGTGGACATTTCCTTAACAAATAGTTCAATCGCTTCCACGCTTCATGTAGGGGTTCTCCATCCCCTTGAGAAAACTCACGAATGGAAGTTCGCATAGAATTGGTTTGACTTGCGAGGTAATACTTCTTTAAAAATTCTTGTTGCATTTGAGCCCAAGATGTTATGGTATTAGCCCCCAAGTTGTTGAACCAATATTTAGCTTTATCCCGAAAAGTGAAAGGGAAAAGCTTCAACCTTAGCACTTCTTCCGGCACATCCGTGATTTTCACGGTAGAACACACTTCCAAGAACTCATTCAAATGTTTGTAAGGTTCCTTATTGCTCAACCCAAAGAAGAGTGGGCACATTTGAATAGTGGAAGGTTTAATTTCATAGTGATGGGCCCTAAAATTAGGAAGCCAGATGCATATCGGGACATTATACTCATTAGGCACATAATGGTCTTTGAGAACCATTAGAGGAATAGGAACTTGTTGCTCTACATGAGCTTTGAGAGAAACTTGACTTATAGGAGGTGGTGGCACAAAAATCGGTCGTGGCATTCCAAGAGGGACTTGCACAAGTGGTGGTTGTGGCACATGAGGTGGTATCACATTATTAGGTTGCACAATATTCGGATGATACATGCCTTGTTGGTCCACATGATCGAGATCCTTGACTTCATCTTCCATTGATGTAATGGAATAGTCAAAAGTCAGAAAAAATCTATTAGAATTAACCCTTGGATGATGGAGTGAAGACTTGAGATTTTGATTCGAAGGAAGAAGAGGACGGTTAAGTGATCTTCTACTATGCATGCACAAGAACAACAACTCGAAACAACTCATTCTCCATAATAATCAACAATAATCAACAAGAATTCACCACAATCTCCACATACGATGTTCCCATACTCTCATGTTATACCGATGCAAAAATTTAATGACGATGACAAGGGTCCATACTTTCAACAATAAAAGTAAAGGCCTTAATAATGACCGATGCACAATTAAGATAAATGAGTTCAAGATATGCTCACAAAGTCCTAACCAACGATGTCGAGTTCCAATGCTTGCTTTCTTTGCCTTCAAGTACCTAATTGCACAAGTAACAAGTGAGAAAAATAAAAAGAACGTAAAGACAAGTAATCAAAAGAGTACTAATTCCTAATTTGATTCCAAGTAACACCGTCGATCCCCAGGAACGGCACCAAAAACATGATGGCTTCTCGAGTGTGTGCACAAAATAGTGTAAAACTGTACTCTAGAGAATGTCAAATGGGCATCACATTTAAAATTTATAAAACCACTAGACACTTATACTATGTAGTATGAAGTGAGAAAGGATCGTCCCAAGAGATAAAGGGTACTCGGAATCAAACTTGGATTAGTAGATCAATTGATTGAAAAGAGTTTGGTTTGGTTTGATTAAACTATGATTAACTAAATTAAGCAATGCAAGAGGAAACAAGCTAAATAGAGTAGAGTTTAGAAAATAGGAAAGGAGTCTTGAGGCAGGAATCACCACTAAGCTCATTCACTAAACCACGATTCCTTCTCTAATTGGGGAAAGAATAATGTTGTAACCCAAATGTGTGTTACTAATTGCAACAATGAGCATGGATATCAAATACAAGCATGAATAGTCCACTAAACAACAAGTAAACTGGTATGTAGCACAACTCATCACGTCTAAGTATAAACCATCCAATTAATCCACAATTATAGCATACATTAATTTAGAGAATCATACAACTTGTAACAATAAGCATGGATTATCAAATTAAAGCATGGATTGTCTACCTATCTAGGAATTGAAATGTAATTACACTACAATTAAACTAAGACAATGAAATTAAGACAATTAAGCTAAAGATGTAGTATAACCCATCAAGCATAAGCATAATCCATCATATTAATCAACAAGTGTATCTAATGAAATCCATGCATAGCTATCATTAGATTCCTAATTTAATCACACATAGACATGCAATTAACATAGAAAAACTAGTGTAGAGATGTAATCCTCAATTAATTACACATAGACATGCAACTAATCTAGATAATTATAAGGAAGCATTTAACCATAGATAATGATAAGCGCTGAAAAGTGCGCATCTAAACCCGTTAATCTTGAATGTTTTAGGACCTTTATCTATCTTATTTTCTCGTTTTAGTCTAATTTCATGTTATTCCCCTTTTCAGGAACTTATCTCCAAAACATGTCAAATCAGCTAAATTAGAGCATTGGAGGAAGCAATCTAAAGTCTAGTGGAAGAAAGGAGCAAAATGAAAGTAAAGTGGTGAAGAAGTCCTCTCC